GTGTTACAAAATTTTGTTTAAAAATCGGTGTAATGGAAGGAACGCTTGACAACGTGCCAACATTAAATTCTGCGTTAAATTAGAAAAGTCTCCAACAGAAACGTTACAAATGATTCAACAAGCCTAGTACTTTGAAGCAAGCCCTTTCAAAATTTAATTCACGTTTTTTTTTTATGTCATCTGTATCTTCGACACGTTACTCTTATGCATAGCTGACTTTCCGTAGGTTTATTGAATCATTTGTAATGTTTCTGTTGGCAACTTTTTTAATTTAACGCAGAATTTAATGTTGGCGCTTTGTCAAGCATTCCTTCCATTACACCGATTTTTAAACAAAATTTTGTAACACAACTTTGCGTGACTGTATCTCATTAACTATTGAATCAAATAATTTAAAACTTGCATCACGTGTTGAGTATTGAGTTGTGAATAATCTAAAATGGCAGCACAAACGGATCAAATGTTCGGAAATGCGAGGCGAGTCCCGAAACTTAATTGTTCGACAGTGTATATATATATATATATATTCGTATTATAAAATTAAAATCTGAATAAAATTAAATTTTTTTAGGAGTTGCACTGATTTAAACGACAGCGATATTGAAATATCTATAATTAGAGGAATTAATTATCCTCGAGAGGCAGACACATATGTTATGTTTGAATTTCCATTTCCGTCGGATAATCATCCCGCGGATAGAACATCAACAGTCAAAGATTCTGCCAATCCAGAATACCAAGCTGTATTTCCGCTGAATGGGATTATAAATCGCACTTCCAGACAGTGTCAAAGAGCCTTCAAACGACATGCTTTAAAGTGTGAAGTTTGGGCAAAAGGGTAATTTAATATTAATATCAATAGCATTTAACATTAATTAGTGTTTAATATTAATTTCATGTTACTTTGAGTTTTAATCCAATATTGTTTGACAAAATACTATTGAAAATTTATAATTGTATTGTGCATGGAAATTTTTATAACTATCAAGTAGCTTGATCACATTAACAAGCATGAATATTAAATTTAACATACAACACACTAATATCACATTTTATTATGTTTTTGATGTTTCAATATTACTAAATTATCTTACTTTAAATTATTGATTTCCATAACAAATTAAATTAATTAATAGAGTTTATAGAAAGATATAAGATGCTTTAGATCTAGGAAATTACAACATTTTCCTGAAAGAGGGAGGAAGAGAGAGGGGATAAAAAAGGGAAACAGAAGTAGGGGAAAAAGAACAGGGTGACAGAGAGGGAAAAGGAGAGAGGAAAGAAGAGAGAGAGAGAGAGAGAGAGAGAGAGAGAAATCTTTCTTGATACTTTTGTGAAAGAAATATCGAATTTAAATGTTTTAACAAATCCATATAGAAAAGATGACAAAACATAAAAGTCAGTGATCTATAATTTTGTGCAGAAAGATTGTTTTAATTTGTGTGAGAGAAATAATTTTGTTAGAGACACTAATAGTTATCTGCTGCTGTTGTATGTGCAATAAATTGTTTAGAATTCTTTTTAAATTTATAAATATTTTTATTTTTGTTTTTATAATAGTATATATATAGTATATATATAGTATATATACAGTATATATAATTCCACTTTTGCAAATATCTATATTTCTTTCTCGTTTAAAAGAAAGAGATATTGGAATAAAGAAACAAATTGGATTAGCTCACTCAGACAAGTAACAATCAGCATTTCTAGTGATAGTGATATAATCTGCTACATCTTTTTAAAATGCAACTGCAAAAATAAATTGCATTATTTCTCTTTTTTGCTTGGATTTATATGTATACATGTTAAATATTTGAAGCTAGTTAAATATAAGAAAGTTAAAACAATAATTATTTTAAATAAAATATACAAATTAAGAAACTATACAATGAGAATATCATCAGATATATCATCATATATAAAAAATAGAACATTGCTTGCAGATGTTCACTGAATCCCATTTTATGCTGTTCTCACCCCAGGTATGACATCCCTCAAATCCTGTAGAGTATGCAGTTTGTTACATGCACAGAGATTTTGATGATACACTTTTAAGAGCAATATTATCCTGGCATTATTATAGATGCTATCTTCTTCCTATAAAAAAAGCAGTAGCGTTTACAAGAGTAATTACACACACACACACACACACATATATATACTTACGTATAAAAGAAAACAAACATCAGTTTTTGTATATATATATATATATATTCGTATTATAAAATTCAAATCTGAATAAAATTAAATTTTTTTAGGAGTTGCACTGATTTAAACGACAGCGATATTGAAATATCTATAATTAGAGGAATTAATTATCCTCGAGAGGCAGACACATATGTTATGTTTGAATTTCCATTTCCGTCGGATAATCATCCCGCGGATAGAACATCAACAGTCAAAGATTCTGCCAATCCAGAATACCAAGCTGTATTTCCGCTGAATGGGATTATAAATCGCACTTCCAGACAGTGTCAAAGAGCCTTCAAACGACATGCTTTAAAGTGTGAAGTTTGGGCAAAAGGGTAATTTAATATTAATATCAATAGCATTTAACATTAATTAGTGTTTAATATTAATTTCATGTTACTTTGAGTTTTAATCCAATATTGTTTGACAAAATACTATTGAAAATTTATAATTGTATTGTGCATGGAAATTTTTATAACTATCAAGTAGCTTGATCACATTAACAAGCATGAATATTAAATTTAACATACAACACACTAATATCACATTTTATTATGTTTTTGATGTTTCAATATTACTAAATTATCTTACTTTAAATTATTGATTTCCATAACAAATTAAATTAATTAATAGAGTTTATAGAAAGATATAAGATGCTTTAGATCTAGGAAATTACAACATTTTCCTGAAAGAGGGAGGAAGAGAGAGGGGATAAAAAAGGGAAACAGAAGTAGGGGAAAAAGAACAGGGTGACAGAGAGGGAAAAGGAGAGAGGAAAGAAGAGAGAGAGAGAGAGAGAGAGAGAGAGAGAAATCTTTCTTGATACTTTTGTGAAAGAAATATCGAATTTAAATGTTTTAACAAATCCATATAGAAAAGATGACAAAACATAAAAGTCAGTGATCTATAATTTTGTGCAGAAAGATTGTTTTAATTTGTGTGAGAGAAATAATTTTGTTAGAGACACTAATAGTTATCTGCTGCTGTTGTATGTGCAATAAATTGTTTAGAATTCTTTTTAAATTTATAAATATTTTTATTTTTGTTTTTATAATAGTATATATATAGTATATATATAGTATATATACAGTATATATAATTCCACTTTTGCAAATATCTATATTTCTTTCTCGTTTAAAAGAAAGAGATATTGGAATAAAGAAACAAATTGGATTAGCTCACTCAGACAAGTAACAATCAGCATTTCTAGTGATAGTGATATAATCTGCTACATCTTTTTAAAATGCAACTGCAAAAATAAATTGCATTATTTCTCTTTTTTGCTTGGATTTATATGTATACATGTTAAATATTTGAAGCTAGTTAAATATAAGAAAGTTAAAACAATAATTATTTTAAATAAAATATACAAATTAAGAAACTATACAATGAGAATATCATCAGATATATCATCATATATAAAAAATAGAACATTGCTTGCAGATGTTCACTGAATCCCATTTTATGCTGTTCTCACCCCAGGTATGACATCCCTCAAATCCTGTAGAGTATGCAGTTTGTTACATGCACAGAGATTTTGATGATACACTTTTAAGAGCAATATTATCCTGGCATTATTATAGATGCTATCTTCTTCCTATAAAAAAAGCAGTAGCGTTTACAAGAGTAATTACACACACACACACACACACACATATATATATATATATATATAAATTACTAATGTTTATAGAATGGATGAATCATATATGTGAAATTATATGTGAAATTATGGATTCCATCATATTACACAAGCGATCTGTAACAACATATATCTGAATTTCTGCGATGTAAAAACATTCTTGATGATCGGTGTTTTTTTTTTTACATTTTTAATAATGTTCCGCAATGTTACAGAGGCTTTTTTCGAAGTGACAGTTTACTGGGTACAGTGATGGTTAAGTTACAATCTCTCGAGTCCCAATGCACTCTACATGATTCCTTTTCGGTAATTAAATAATTTATTTTGCACACTCTCTCTGTCTACAGAATAAGAAAATTTATCATATTATTTCAGCTTATGGATGGCAGAAAAGCAACGGGAGGAAAACTAGAATTAAAAATCCGGCTCAGAAATCCAATTCTTTTTAAGCAAATAGAAAATGTCACAGACAAATGGTTAACTATTGATCAATAATGAATGATTGAATGCAGTTCAATAATTTATCATTAATTTGTCATTTTTGGAATTGTGGGGCCTTTAAAAATAATGTGCATCGAGAATAGATTACTGCATTTTTTAAACACACACACACACACACACACACACACACTCAAACACACACACACTCAAACACAGTCAAACACACTCAAACACAGTCAAACACACTCAAACACACTCAAACACACTCAAACACACTCAAACACACTCAAACACACTCACACACACACACACACACACACACACACACACACACACACACACACACCCCCACACACACACACACACACACACACACACACACACACACACACACACACTCAAACACACACACACACACACACTCAAACACAGTCAAACACACTCAAACACACTCAAATACACTCAAACACACTCACACACACACACACACACACACACACACACAAATGTGAATGCATAATAAATAAAACGTAAAAATGTAAATATTCTATATAAAATTACAATAAACGAACTACATGCAATTTGTAATATATATATAAGCGCGATATAAAAAAGTTCTGAGTACTTTTTGCTTGTCAAGTAAAAAATGCTTTTACCGAGTAAATTATATTTATTTATATATAATGACTTGAAAATGATTATTTGAAAAATATTAACAAAAAATTATCTACAGATATATTCTTAACACATAACGCGCATACATTATATATACATAATGATTTTAGAAATGTTTATATATATTTTATATGTGCATACGTATGTGCACGTGCAAGCGTATGTATAGAATCAGAAGTCTGTCGATACGACATACAATTTTGCAAAGTGCCTGCTAAAAAATTTGTCGTTTGAAAAGATTAGATCAAAGATATAACTGATTAAATAGGATTTGCAGTATGCAATACTGTTGGCAGAAATATAGCAACATAAATTATGATGACAGTCTTAAAGAGATTGAACGGACTTTGGAATATTTGCAACACAGATTGACGATAGAACACGAGTTCAATATGTGGATACATTTGATGCCAATCCGCTACTACATTTTGACTGAAGCAGCTGGCAAACTGTTGGCTTGTTGCTAATATTTTGCTTAAATTATCCACAAATAAATTATTTGTGGATGTTTCGAATAACATACAATTTATAAAAATTTATTTTTATATGTTATATATACTTTTTCTCTTCCTTTCCTTTGCTTATTAAGAAATTTTATGGAGTTTTTTGGTGAAAATGAAACATTTGATCAATTTCATTAATAATTTCTATACATATATTAAATTACATAGTCCATTTTACGTTCCCCTTGAAACCATGCAACTTTGCTTTAATTCATTTATCTTTACAGATATTAATATTGACATAAATTAAGATGATAATATCAGGTAACTCACCCTGCATATATAATTTTAAACATAATTCAAATTTTTGAATTAAAAAACTAATGCTATGAAAAAAAAGATCAAAATAATCGAAAACTATGTTGAAAATACATTATTTAAAAAAAGAAGAAATATGTATTATATATGTAATATATGTGTATATATATTTATACGAAAAATAAAAAAAATTAATAATAAGAATATGAAAATATTTGATTTATATTTGCATTAAAAAACATTTAAATATATAACTTAGAAAACACAAAAAATGTAATAAATCTGTACATTTCTATTATATATGATTTCAATTATTTATATGGTTCCAAAAGAAATAAAACTTATTTTCTTAGAATAATTTTTTAAATCTTATTAATGTTTTTAATAAATATATCGATTAGAGAGGTCAACTTCATAGAGACATACAGGGTGTATCTGAAATGATGCACTAAACTTTAGGAGCGTATTCTAGAGGTCAAAAGAAGACTTTTTTCTTATGAACATGGGTCCGCAAATGAAAACCCCTCCGAGCTAAAATTCGAAAATATGTGAAATACGTTTTTATTTTTTTATTTTAGTGGCTTACTTTACTTTATAATTTACTGAACTGTACCAAATTTCAACCTTCTGCCATTTTTTTTTTCAGAAATACAGCCAATTTTTAATTTTTTTCCCAAACTTTAGGGGCCTTTCCCGCCCCCTCCCACTATCCCTACCTCCCTCCATCTCTTCCCTCCCCTCCCGCCCTTCACCCACCCCTTCCCCTTCACTCTCTCCCTCCCTCCAACCCTTCCCTCTCTCACTCTATTTTGTGATCTTTTTTTCTTTTTTTCAAAAATTTTGTAAAACTGAAATAGTGTTTATAGTAAATGAAGTAACAAATATAAACAAATCAGCTCTGCTTATACAAACGAGTTCTTTTGTAATGCATTATCTAAATATTTGTACGTAATGATATACAGAGCTGGTCTGATAATTTGATAGTTTTGTAAATGTTATATGTTTAAAAAATTATACACAGATAAGATTAAAAAATAAATAAATTATATATATTTACAATGTTAAGATAACCGACAATGTTGAGATTATTTTAGATATGTATATAACGATTGATTTGTGCATAAAATGCAGTGACATCCATATATACATATACATATACTCATAAGTATTCACCGCATGGTTCATGCCTGCAGAACGAATTATGCGTGTAAGGGCACTTGAGCGTCACTGAAAATTCGAAAGAAGGATTTGATGTTAAACCAAGTGCTGTACATCTATTGCATGATCGGAAAACAATGGGATTTATTTGCCAATTAGACAATTAGGTCGGCCATGAGAGGGATCTCTCAGTTCTCCGACCGGCTGAAAACTCAGGATCTCGATCCGGTGAACGTATACCCTCGGGGCGCGTAGTATTTGCTATGTATACACGTAACCGCGGTTAATGTTGACCTTTTAGCCTCCGCCCCAGAATCGGGTTTCCGCGTGCAAATTAATGATGTTTATTCGCTTAACCCTTTGCATCTATTTCGACCGCCCGTCGTCTCATTCTTGTCTATGCACGATGAGAATTACCAAAAATGGTATTCCATTTTTAGTGATTTTGTTGTTCTTTTTTTAGATCTTAATTTTTTTTATCTTAAGAAAAAAAATCTGATGGCAATAAAAATATTGAAATTAGCTTCAGAAATGATTGCCAGAAATTTTTGATCATATATTACACATATTTGAGACCTCGATACTTTTCAGATATTTGTATTTACCTTAAATTTCTTTATCATGATTTTATTATTTTACATGCAGCCACTTTTGTATAAATAACATGCTTTTTATTAATATTTTTTAAATTTTTGCTCTAAAAACGTGCCGAAAAACTTCAACAAGATAACTTTAAGCCTGTTTATCATAGATTTATGGTGAAAATATATTTTTATCAATAAAATTTTAAGATTATAAAAAACAGATGTTAATAGAGGGGTTAGATTCGTAAAAAGTATATAAAAGTTTTCTTGTTAAAAATTGATATTTTGTTAAAGATTGTCTATTAAAATTAAAAAAATAATAAAGGAAGTGATACTTTAATTAAGAAAAACATAAAATAGTTTGTGGTTCTTTTCCATAGTTATTTTTCTGATATGTTTTATTTATATATATATTTTTACTATTTGTAGAGATATCAGCAACATAAGACATAAAAAAATTAAAGGTTCTTTAGGTTAAAAAAAAGAGAAGATTATTCGTTTAATCCACAAAAAATTATTTTCTCCCAAAAACTACATTTTAAGAACAAAAAAATTATTCTATATTTTCGACATTTCTGTATGAAAAATAAATTTCTATTCTTATATGATAATGGATATATAATGTATAATGATATTATATGTATATGTTAAGAGTAGTAAAAGAAGCAGCCATATTTCTTTCAGTATACATATAAGTATGTTTTAAGATTTCAATAGAATTTTGACTTAAGGTAGTTGTCTCGCAAATCACGATTAACAAGAAAAATTTGAAAATTTAACTATACGTTAATAAATATATATCTACACGTTTGTACAACTTAAAAGCAATTGACCGTCTCGAATCACTATCAAAAATTGCACTTTTTACGTGTCGCATACACAAAACGTACGAAAATCTCGTATTTTGAATTTTAATAATTAGGAAGAATAACAAAAAAGTGATGAAAAACTAATACAAAATAGAAGGATACTATAGGAATTCTATTTAAAAAAAACCGAAATTGTTAACTGTTTAGTTTTAGAAATTAGTTTTAGAAAATAGTTTTAGAAAATGGTTTTAGAAACAAGACATAATAAAAAGAACTCGCGGTATCATTTTATCCTTATTTTTGCTAATAACCGAAAGTTAAAGACAGATGATGCTCGCGAACGTTGCGGGCGTTGACTTGGCAATAGACAGAAATAGTACAGAATGTTCAAAAGTTTTCAATCAGTAACCATAGGTAGTCGGATGTTTTAACCACAGACTTCTATATAATATACTAGACTGCTAACATGGCTATATTTTATATAAGAACATATGAAGCTAAGGCAGTCATTTACAATTAGGCAGAATATCGATAAAAATTATATTGAATCGATATTCGATCGATTCATGTCATTCAAACGTCATTCATTCATTCAAACGTCATTTATCCATTTTTTAAACGTATATATTTAAAACATTTAAAAAAATAAAAATAAAAATATCAAGTATATATATAGTGCACATATAAGAATAAAAATATCAATGACTTGTAGCATACTTGACTGTTCAAACACAGATATTCTAAAGAAATATCAATATTTTTCAGTAAGTACATATAATCTGTTTCTCTTATTTTTTTAGAAACTAACTATTTCTGTGTTATTAAATATGCATCAAATATTTATAAATCAACACTTTCATATGAAATATTGCAGCTTTCCCTTCAAGGATAAAAACTGATTGACAGCCTAGTTGAATGCGATAAAAAGACAAAATTGGACTCTCAGTAAATATGCTACAATCTGTAATGAACATTTTGCTACCATGGTTTCACCTGTCACATCGCTGTTAGCAATCTAGTATATTATATAGAAGTCTGTGGTTTTAACGTTGACTCAGAGTATAAAATTTTGGATTGTACTGTCGCGAGACAACTATCTTACTATACACATCCACTCTCAAGCGTTTACACATACATACACATATACACGCGCACACGTACAATTGCTGCAAGAGTGGAAAGCTTCAAAATAGCAAAAAATTA